GCATTTAAGATAGTCAAACGTGCTTTTTAAAAAAATGGCTATACGCGAATCACAGGTCCTATTTCACCGTTACAACAAAAATTACCTGAGCCATTGTAATTTATTTAAACCCCAAAAATAACATATGTAATTAAACATGTTGAAGTGGATAATGACAAGAGTCCACTTGACAGGTTTTTGCATTAGTTTCGCGGAAGTGTATGTTTGTGTAGGGCTGCGCCTGCGCCGCTACTGTGCTGTTCCTGTGCAACTGTTGTTGTTACAACTCGATATTATTGTGCCGCTAGCGCCGCGCTGTTTGTGTTGCACTTTATTTTTTCAGCACCTGTTGTGTTATGTTATGTTACTGTAATTGGTTGGGAACCAAATGTTTAGCAGCCGTTAATTGACTGCCAGGTCCTTATTGGTTCTTGGAAAAAAAATTTTTTCGTACCTACTGGTGACTGATAGAGAACAAGAAGTAACTATAGGTAGACAGGGAACACTTTGATCACGATGACCTGTAAAAAAATATTAAATGTCGCTTGAATAATGCAGGGGGAATATTTACGAAATGTTTCCCTGTTTGTTTGTATTGACGCAGGATTAGTAACATTTGGTCATCATTATCGCAATGAATAGTCGCTTCCATCAAAACACTTGCAATAAAATTTCAATTACCTTAAACCAGGGACTTAGCTTGCATCTCAAATTATAAGAGCTCTTTTGTTGGCGGATTAGCCGACAAAATGCGGAGGGCACGCGGCCCGGCCGCCGCCGCCGCGGTAATTGAAATAGCTCTGCGCATTAGATGGTATTATAACCACCATTGTAAAATGGCCCCGGTCGCCTCCCCCGCACGGGACTACTGCGTCTTGTGCTAGTTCATTGCATGTTGTGCTAAAGTTCATTATACGCTGGTCGCTTCTTGCACCGTGGTGTGCAGAACATTCTTGCAGGATTACAAGTTTAGTGTGACAGCCGAGCTCAATTAAGTAACCCTCGACTCGATTGGATATTAATTTATTGGCGTCATATAATTCACTAATGCGGTCGGAATGCGGATCGTTTATAGCTTCTCTTCCACGGTGACCTTTATTATTCGTTCCAAAGCCATTACGGGAAGTTGTGTGCTAATTTTATAATTAAATGTCCCTCAATATGATAAACTCCCAGAAGTTAGGTGAATAATTATAAAAAGTGTAAATGCCTTTACATCAAGGAACATCAGAATATGTACCAAAACGAAACTCATTTTTAAAATAATTTACATACGTTAGTTTCTAGGTTGTAGTAAATGCTGGTCTAGGCCTGCACCCCGTACAGGGCCGGGGCTGGTGGCTCATAGCTCATGGTACAACAACTGCACGAAGCAAGCGAACGTGTCCGGAATCGTAATGTGACGTTTAAACCAAGATGGCGGCAGCTCGAGAGCGCGCTAATGAATTATGACACGGGTTAACGGCAAATTAATATACATTATAAGCAGTTTGCACAAACAAGCTGTGAGATGCTGCAGCTAATTTTATTACAAGTTAACCTAGCACGGAGATATTTACTTCCCCGTAGGAAATGTTATTTTACACAGGGTCTGGCATCCAATCATCTGAAACAAATACAACACGTAAGTTTTGACGTATCAGAGATATATTTACTCAGAGGTAATTTTTTATAATATTATTAAAAATATAAAAACCACCACAGCTCCACTATATAAAAGATGAAAGAATCCATTACCTAATTACTGTCAAATTTCAGCGTCGAAAAGTACACTTCAGAAACCTCAATTTTCTTTTGAAAGTTGGACGCCAATAAATGCAACAATTAAGACGAGCAATAAAGCAGCTGACAGCGGCCGAGTGTCGATAGAAATAAAATAATCATGATGACTCATTACCGGCGCGTTCTTGTTGAGGAGGCGCTGTCAGGCCGCGCGCCGCCTGATTGACTCGAGTGGGGGCTGAGACTCAATTAAATCCCTAACATTTGTATTAATTAAACGAAAGGAATTTGATACGAATCGACAATGGCGCTCGATTGACGGTGAGCCGTCCTTATTGATGCTATTAGTTGGGGCTATTGTCAGTAATCATTTTATGTATAATTGTGTTGTCCGTGTAATTGGTGGTTGGATGTGAAGATCATCTTGCTGTTAACCTCATTGAGTTTAGTTAAATACATCATTTGTACTCACCTCGTTATAAATATTATCTCCCACTAATAGCACGTCAAGCAGTCACACGCTGCTGTGTGTATTATTTTAGATCAATACACATCAAATTGTTTTCAAACCGTGGCGCTGTGTGAGTGTTGTGAATCATGAATGGGTAATTCGATATCTCGTTTTCTGTCATCTTCAGTTGAGACAAAGCGAGGTGCGCAGGCGCATTGTGTTCTAATGACAACACTGGAGTGTAGTGAGCCAATGAAGTGTCTGCCTCGTGCAGTTGACTCGAGCAAGGAGCGTGTCATCCTGTGCACACAGTTTTTTGTCATTTGTTGACAAAGGATTAAGACAAAGCGTGTCTGCGTGAGAGCACTCGATGTCAACAACGTGGTAATAGCTAATTAAACACTCGCTTAACAAGCGTTAGATTACCCACATTACAGGGTATTTAGTGTAGACGTGTTTTAGTTCACATAATGGCCGTGTAATTATCTAGTTATCTAAATGTAGGTTCAATGTTTGCATTTTATCACGGCTAATAAGAGATATTGGAACAACTACACTAACCGTTTGAAATGTTCTACACTACAAAGAAGCAGCTCAATGCTAACAAGATCTCAGACAGAAAATGTAACCGGTATCTTGTAAGCTTACTGAGTCGTGATTACAATAAATAGAACTCTGTAGAAACTGAACAGACAACAAATTTATGACAATTTTACTTTATAACAAGACAAACGCGTAGTTTATTTTTAACTAGCGACCCGCCCCGGCTTCGCACGGGTGCAATATGCATGTATTATACATACAAACCTTCCTTAAGAATCACTCTATCTATTAAAAAAAACCGCATCAAAATCCGTTGCGTAGTTTTAAAGATCTAAGCATACATACGGACATACAGCGAAAGCGACTTTGTTTTATACTATGTATTGATAGTTTAGGACTTTCAGAACACATTTTTTAAGATACATTGTTGAATATGGTTGTTACATAACACAACATGGTTGAGGCTCCACATTTCCAGGTCAGCTACTTTCACAGGCCGACCTGGCTCACGTCGAGTAGAGAGCCTCAGCTGGGAACTGCACGGAACTGTCACCATTGTTCTCTGACAATGGCGGTCACTCCGCACTCGCCTCTATTTATCTTACACCTAACATAATTGAGGAAGTATTTAACTCCGCTTTTGTTGCGTTTTTTCCTTTAATATTGTTAAAATTGTACGACAATCAGGTAACTGACAGCCGTTTCAAGCCGCTAGGGTTGTCAGCCGGATGTGTGGCGCGAGAATGTTATTTTATTTTATAAAATTTAACTTAATATAAAGGGTTGTCGTATATATCAAGTATTTATGTAGAAGTTATATTTCTTTGGAATATTTAAGAACTTTTGTTTGAACTTTAAAATTATTTCTACTGCTTCATTTTCTTCAACAAATGAAACATATTTGTCGGTTACTACTACCTAGTTAACAACTTGAACAAACTCTTTAGAAAGCTTATAACAATCCATATAAAATATTGACAGCCCTGCGTGCGCGTGCGCAAGTCGTGGTGCTCAATAGAGCTGTCTTCAAGTTACGCGCACATTGTCTATGGTTGAGAGGCTCCAGCGACTATACGAACCCAGTTTTTGTGTGTCGATTGTCGATGGTAACCTAATAGTGTTCTACTAGTTGGCATTGTTCGCGTGTAAATATTGAAACGTAAAACGATTTGCAATCATTGCTCCGACGTTCATCACCGATGTGGCATAACGCGCGCTTTATTGAACTGTATAGTGGGCTGGTATGTTGAAGGGTACAGCCTGTGTGGTACGGGTAGAAGTGTATGGTAACTCTGGGTTTGATTAGGATTTTTTAATACAGAAATGTTGTTCAATGTTCAACTTATGCTTTTACAATTCTGCTATTCTGTCATGTCGTAATAAGATTAGACGAATAGAAAACTAAAACCAGTCTTAATGATTTTTTTGGCATAAGCTTTTAAACGAGCAGAGCGATACCGGCCTTTTGGAGATTTTTTTTAAACCTTGCCCCACATTAGGATTTTCTCCTGTATCGTGGGAGCGTTTACAAACATACAAGTTCACATACCTACACGTGACACCCAGACCCGAAACAACAATTTTGTGGATTACACAAACAGTTGTTCCGTGCGGGAATCGAACCCGCGGCACGTTGCACGGCAGCCAGATAGCCAGCCACCGCGCCACCCGTGCAGTCAAAGGAAATTAGGAGTTTGAGGGTCGTTGGAGATTTAGGAATTAGGGAGATTGGAGAAGGGGTGGGTACTTGGACCTCCGGTAACCTCATTCACACGACGAAACACAACGCAAGCGTTGCTTCACGTCGGTTTTCTGTGAGGCCGTGGTATCACTCCGGTCGAGCCGTCCCATTCGTGCCGAATGGCTTTCCCACACTTATGATCACAATTTTAGGATCCATTATTTTTAAAGTCTACGTAGCTATTAGAATGAACCAATATTTTGCCTGTAAATCCAAAGTTATTATGTATGGGTGGCATAGGCGAGGAATCTTAAATTGTTCCTTACCATCCCACCATACCCCTTACCAATGTATATTTTCCTTTACAATATAAAATAAGTGTGATGCAAACGAAAGGACCCAACTCAGTGAAATTAGTAATAATAGATAACGATGTAACAACTAGTGCAGACTGGGCGCCGCACCGGTTTGGTCCCGGCTCAGTCCCGGCTCGGTCCCAGCTCGGTCCCAGCTCGGCCTCGGCTCGGCGGCGCTAAATCTGAGGCAGCGAGCACTTTTAAATTGGAATTCCTAGCGGGAGTTGTTTGTACTTGGTAGCTTAATTAATGAATGTAATTGTTGCAGGGTTCCCGCAAATCAAGTCGCCGTACAGCCCCGGCTCGCAGCCCCATCTCACCGGTGAGTCGCATTTTTGTCTCCAACTCATTACATTAAGATTTGCAGCCGATCAACAGAGCACGACGTCGCCTTTGTTTTTACTCTTCTTTTAACTCCCTGTGTTTCTTACTTCGTTCAAATTAAATGACATTTTTCATTAGCGACATGGTTCGTCTTAATGCAAAAGTTATCTTTGATAAAGTTATTTCCGATCTACGTGTCATTTTGTTTGTTCCTCTCGTGTGGAATTTTTATATATTAACGGTGGACGAGCACTAAGAAAAGATTTCATAATAGCCAGCTACCTGGCTGGCTACATTTTGTAACTGGTCTCTGAGTAAGAGAAAACTAAATGAAAATAATTACACTGTTACCCATTCATCAACAACAAGTGCACGTGAGACATGTCTTAATAGAGTATGGAGAGGGAACTGTTTGCTGTGAGACTGAGGCACGATGAAAAACATTCGCTGAAGTATTTTGATTAACAGAGTGGCTTGACGATTAGTAACCATAAATTAGAGACGGGCGCTGAAACTATGGGGAACAATACATTTGCCGGTGATTTAGGAAAGTGGCTGTGTGGCGGGGCCGAGGCACGCCGGGGAAGGGGGAGGGCATCCCTCGTGTGAGCCCCCCCCTCTAACACACCCGTGTACATCACCCCCCGCCTTTGTCTCAGTAATGAATCCGGCAAACGCCAAACGTCACCGCGCAGCCGCTCGACCCAGCCAATACCACAAATCATACTCCTATCTATTACCAATCGGAAATTCAACCCTATTTATACCCTCCTAGAGTCGAACCTTCATTAGTCTTTATTGGACTTATTACCCTCTTAAAACAGATGAGCAAATTCGCTTAGAACGTGACGTTTGAGAAAATATTCAGTTAAATGCAAATTAGTTTTTGTGATAAAGATATAAGTCGGGGCTCGAATTACTTAATATAACGAAGGTCACGGAGCGCGGAGCCCGGAGGAGATTAATTAACACTCAGGGTGTGAGTAATGAAGGCGCGTATTATCTGGTAGCTGGTAGGGACTGTAGTCAGGGTGTCACGCGTCACGCAGACATGTGTTTATGAGCTGGATGACACTAGTTGTGTACGAGTGCGCACGTAATAGATAACGACGTGTGACGAGCTGAGTCTCGTTTTTCATTCCGTAACCGCAGGGTCGTGGTGTGGTGGCACTACTGTGGCATGCGATGCGAGCGGCGCCGCGCGGCGGAGTGCGGTGTGCGGTGTGCCGTGTGTCGCAACCCCAGCGCATGAAAAGCGTCACAGAAAACAAACCTGGCTCCCGCCGGCAGCCATTTGTAAAAATTGCCTCCGCCGCCATTTCTGTGCGGGAATTTCATATTTGGAACGCCACGGGGCGGAATCCGCGAGTGGATTTTGACATTTCCATCATGGCGGCAAGTTTTATTGTTTTCTAAAACAATTGCAGCGTGCCGCTGCCGCTGCGATGCCCGCTTTGCCGCTATTGTTTAGTGGCAGACATTTTTAATTTGTAAATTAGGGGTAGCTCATTGTTTCTCCAGTGCCGAATAAAAGTCAGGAGTGTAATGAGGCTGTGACCTCATTGGTCGCGCGGTCAGAGCGCCACAGCTTTTGACCTCTCGGAACAAGACTTTTACATCTGAATACTTCCACTAATTTCCATTAATTAGTGCCAATCTCTGTCTATTTGCAGAATCATGTCTTGTTGGCATGGACGTCATAAAAATACTAATTAGACGAGAGTTACACGGAACAGTAGTTTGTTTTTATTTACTCAAACTTGTCTGTGTATCATTAGTTACATGTCACAAGTAATCCGACATGTCAATAAAGCTTGTCAACTTAATTTCCATGTAAATGTGTGTCGTGTTCACAAGTTAGTGTTGACAGTTGTGGCTTCTCCTGAGTGTTCACACTCGGCCGGCGCCGGCCGGGTGCATTACAACAAACATTTGTATCAAACGTTGGCCGAACGCTGAGGAAATTATTTTTTATTTCTGTCAAACTGAGACAAGTAGCGACTGTGGATACAACAACACTTCATTACAAAGTTACAGCTGCAGGACGGAGGACTCGTATGTCGTCGAGACATGGGTGGTAGTAGCGTGGCAGGGCTCGCGTGCTGTGGTGGTGGCGCGGAGTATCAGGTGTCAGAGGAGCCGCAGTGTTTAGTCAAGTTAAGTGGCGACAGCGTTGTAATAACAGGCAGTATATTAAAGTGCGGCCAACACTTGCCACTTTCTTCCTCGTAACGAAGCGTGTCGAGTTACTGCGGTGTGAAGTGTTGCCGCTTGCTGCGCCCGGCGTCGCCTCCTATCAAGCCAACACTCGCGCTGCTTGTTTGGTTACACATCTTCTTTTTATCTATTTTTCAATAGGCCATTGAACGAAACAAATTAATTTTTATAAGACTTTAGGTAATAAATTGGTTAAATAAATTCCAAATATTCAACTCTATAAACATGTAAAATCTTTCAAACAATAGTCCTTTCTACTTTAAAATTTCGTTGTTTTTCCTTCGTTTTTAACTGCCCTGAACCGGAGACTTAACACACGACAATTATATTTGTAGTTTAGCTAGCTAGACAATCTAGTCCCTACTGACACATTAAAAACTATAAGATGTAATTGAATCACTCAGCGTGTAAGTGGTGTGAGTTGTGTATAATAAGTGTAATGAGTCAGAGCGGCGCGGGCGCAGAGTGTTGCACAAACACGCGAGAGTGGCGCTAATTGTCGCGGTGCGCGGTGTCCGGTGCCGCCCGCCCGTGGGACACTCCATGTGGTGCATCATCTGTGTGCAGAGACACTTGTGTCTTACAAGGTAACTGTGGGTAAGCAGTAACATTTGTACCCACAGTGTAATAATCTTAACACTGTTAAAATTCACTTCTGTTTTGATTTTAGTAAATTTCTACACATATGTATTCAACTACAAATAGGGTTTACCGTGTTACAAAACTGTTCTAATAGTAGGTAGAAATTCTTCACATAATATCTATCTATAGATGAAAGTTGTGAAGATTCCCATGCGTTGCATAAAGGCACTAGGGTATCGTCTTAATGATCTTAAATTCAACAAGCAAAGTACTAGTAAAATAAATGTAAAGCGCTCGGTTTAACCAGGCAAACAAAACTTTATACCAGTTTATTATTCAAATACGTGTAATATTGAGAATATGGTCTGTTACACAAATAACACAGTGACGGCATTCAATAAGCAATCTGCTAATTCAAAAGGATTGCTCGTTACAATAAATTCATTAAGGCACCGACTTGCCGAGCAAACAGTGTGTAAGTACTTACTTCTAAATATTACCTCAACGTCTTAATTAATAGCATTGTTTCACACATCTGCCCATACAGACATACAGACGAGTATCAATTACACATATTGCGCAAGATATCGACTACACTCGTACAATGCTCAATTAGTGCGCCTTCCAACAAATATGGCGGCTAACGAGTTTACCAAATGACTGAATTACAATTACATCTTATTGTTTTATTAAATTAATTATTGTGTGTGTGTGTGTGTTAACTTGGGAGAGATTTATGTACATGTGTGTGTGGCGTCAGGATAATTTAATTACGAATAATGTACACACTGCCACTTTGCTGACTTACAAACGTTTATGTTATCCTTCAGAATGCAAATGTCTAGTATGATTTAAATGTATTTTCTCTTTCTAGTTAATTAGAAGGTTAATCGACGAATTATTCATTAATCGTTGAATAACCCTGAGTCTTTTCATTACCTAAATAAATAATAACAACAAAATCTAAAATGTTCTGTAGAAGATTAAAAGGATTTGTGTACAAAGTTCCCAAAACACGATCAGATTACATCCCACCAGCCCACAGGGTCCAGAAGCCTTTTCCAAGTAACGTAATAAGAAGGCAGCATAAAGATATTAGGCGTTAATACAAATAATATAATTTGTCAGCCAACAACTGACGTGGCGGGGAGGGAATCATTTCGGCCACCTTCCCCCGAGGCTCGTAACGCGGCACTTTCCGCAATTTTTTGAAAACGATATTGTTGAGCCTCCCCTGCACTGCCAGTAATGATGTAACCATATCTCGTCTCGCTCCAATCTGATAAGTAAATAGTTTCCGTGACACTTGAACATTCTTCAAGGGTAACCTACGTAAATATAGGTATATAACAATTTATTTTGTAAGCAATTATAAAATTATGGTAAAATGTAAATGCACTCTAGCCATCAGACCACCACGGATGGGGCCCAATAGGGCTGATATCGATACGGAGTCGCGGAGAACCTAACGGGTTACCGGGGCTCCGGCTCGAAGTGCAGGAGAAGGAACGGGGTGATTTTTAGTCAGTAAGAGTCTGACACTCCCTCCCGCCTCACCCAGGCGGGAGCAGTCATTCGATGATTTTCCATCTTAAAAAAAATCTCATTACTATACCTACATAAAACTAGAAATCAGTTTAAGAAATTGTTTTTGATTCTTTTTCCCACGTAGAGATCTATTGTAAGCGAGCAAACAGCTATTTCATTGTAATTTCTTGTTGAGAATTGTAACAGTATCGAATGTTTCTTGAGTTGCCTATAATGCACGGTTCCTAGGTAAATACATAAGGAGTAGGGATGTCAACAAGCCGATACAATTAGACGGCGGCGGGCGCGCGCACCCGAGAGGAATAATTTAAAAAGCCGCGGCCGCCCGATCCATCGCACACTCCGCTCAATTACACCATTTTAATGCCCACTCCCGGCTTCCTCGTAAGAAGGTTTCCTCGTTAAGTGTTACATGTTTATTGTCTCGAAGGGAGCCTGCCAGGGTGTTCTTGTGGCAATTTTTATACAACACTTATGTTGAATAACCACGGAACTTGGTTGGGTTTGTGTTAAAGCCTGTTTATGGGATCTTGAGGAAGGCTATGAATTTATTTCTAGACAGTTTGAAATATATTTACTATCTAGGTATGTATGTATTTCTAACGTTTCATGCTATCAAAGAGCCAAGGAACAGTTGATACAGAGAGACTACCCTCCTCAGATACATTCAGAATAAGACGCTCCCATCACACCTGGAGCTATGCTACAAAGGTACAACGCTGAACAAGTCAAAGTCACAACTAAAAGTTAACGTGTACACGAGCACTCCCCCCTCTGTCTCCTTGCCGCGGGTGGAGGGGGGTGGGGCGTGGCCTGACCGGACACTGTAACTGGCACTTGGTTATTGGCCTCTTTTCATAGCCGGGAGTGCTCGGCACTCGGCACTCGGCACTCAGTACTCTCAGTAGTGGGCAGTGGACGCGTGGTGTGCCTGCGGTGGCCGGTGTGGCCGACATCGCTCATTACATGTCAATTATTGCTACCGATAACCGATAGTCTGCTCTCTCACTGCTGACTGCTCGATGATAGGCTGGAAACGACACGTCTTTGTGTTGTGCAGTCATGTATGCAACTCGAACAAGCTTATTTTATAGTATGTACATAAAACTTACAGAGAATATAATGTCTTAAGAAAAATCCTCACTTTAAAAACTAAAAAGTATCAGCGACTAGGCAGTACTCAGTGTCTACTAAAGTAAATGCCTAAATCTAATTTTAGCCAGAAATTCGTACCTACACAATGACACGCTCGCCTCGAATCCATTTTCTGTAGCGGCAACAATAATATTTTACGATTAGAACCTCCTCCCTCTCACTCCCTCTTAGAGGCCACTGATCGCATAATGACTAACTTTCAATAACACGCTCGGCTACGGGATAATGAACCTTACTGCGTTGTGATATGGAGGATTAAGGTTAGAAATACGTTTTGTCTACGTCCTCCGAAATATCAAAGTGAAGAGCGTCCCATTAGCAATTATAATGGCTACTGTCCCGTGCTGAGTGCCTGCTCATTACGAGCCGCTCGCCTGCCGCCGCCGCCCGGCGCCGCCCGCCGCCCGCTGGTCACAGCTTGCCAACTTTGTTAGTTAATTACTTGACACTTCTACGAGCGGGCTCCAATGTTATCACAACTTTTTATTGAAGTTTTAAAGCTCCAAACTATGTGACCTCACGTCACTACTCATTTTCATATAAATTTATAGAATGTCTATTTTCTACATAGACATGCTTAGATTCACCGTATGCTAGAAAAGGTGCATGCACCGTGCACCTCGGCGGATATAAGGCAATCTCTAACGTTACCGCTTGTGGACTACTCACGTTAAAGATGTAGAAATATGTTACTGCACACATCTATACAAATATATGTGTGTTTGAACGTAGCTATACAGTACAAACGTCCTTTACAAGGAGTCTCGGAGCAAATTCAAAACAAGCAAAGTGAAGTGGTTGACCAAAACGGTAGAAATAAGAGCAAAGCGATCGAGATCATAATATCTGGTGGCGGAGGTTGTATTGTGTGAGCTGCGAGCTGCTTTGTGAGGACTTGTTCTATTTTTGTTAACACCTGCGCGGTGGGAACAACGAGCCGTAATGTGATAGCTGTGCACCACTCCGCACTCCTCACACTCAGCCTGGACGCGCCGCGCATTGTGAGCGGGGCCTTAGATAGCGAGGACGAGGACGACCTAAGATCTCGTGACCTTCGCAAATCCGTACAGAAACATGTGTCATTTCTAATGAAAATACCTTTGGTACAGTCATTTTTTTATTTTTATTACACAAAGCAATAAGTACGCTTTACATTTACTGCTCCAGTTGTGGGTTTCGTACGTTCCTGTTTATTATTTCCTCTATTCTTGTTTTAATTTATTATTTTTATTTGTTTCATGTAATTCGTAGCGGTCCGACAGTTTTATTCAGGTAATTTGTTATCCGTGCACTTTATTATTTTTCATGCTTTGACTAACAATCTGTGATGCTCCTTCATAACTAACAACTGATGAGCGATACTCGTCACATTGTGATACGTGTACTAGTTTCTATTTATGTATCTATATTAATTTATAACATATTATTCGTAAAGCATTATAAAAATAAAGGTGTAGCGACACATGCGGCGGGTGGAGGCGCGATGATGGCGCGACACTCGTGGAATCAAACAAGCGTCAATTGGCTTGCCGCGGCAAATTGGCAATTCGTACGCGCCCTAATTGCATCACGTCTTATCGTGTTACTCGTAAACGTTTTACCTGCAAGCATTCTTGTTAAGCTTTTTATTTGAATGAGATAGCGACTCGAGCATCCGTCTCGTGCCTAAATTAGATCCTCGCCGATTTTATTTTCGTTCTCAACGTTCCTCGCTGAGAACTGACAATAATTTTATTTGTAAATAATAAAACGTCCTTTTGTGGACTGAAACGTCGGCTCATTCAGCTCTTTTGACTTAATTTTATCTGGTGTAAATATTATAAATTGGATAACATTGGGGTTGAGAAAAAGCGATATTGCACGTTCTATTAAAAGTAACGATTTCATTCGAAAATAGATTGCACGCGGTTGTTCCATTATATGCGCAAACAGGTATTTGAAAAATATGTATAAAACAATTTAGATAGAATCAACAAACCACATTTAGCGACACAATAAACAACACTACACTTTGCAAAAAAACCTCAGATCAGATGCGAAAGTCTCAGTCCCAAAACAACAAACCGGTCGCGGTGGTACACGCGTCGCCAAATATTTCTCTAACACAATAACGTAGGCAAATACAGGCAATAGAAGCTTTCGTAGGCAAATCTCCACGTATGCTGACGTCACGCGCGTCATCGCGTCACGTCGCGCGAACACGCGGCACGTACACGCACTGGCGACACACAGCTATATTTCAGAAGTACAGGGCTATCTTACAATGATGGTTATTAGATAACTATAGAGTCAAAAGAAAGTTGAGGAGAGGTCAATTTTATCTGATACAACTTGCTTTATTTGCATATCATGGTTTTTTTCGATAACCACACCAATGACACTAAAATCATTATCTAAGATAGACTTATGGTACCAACAAATGATATTTTTCGGTTGGTCAATAAATGTTATATAAGAGAGTCTTCTCTAAAATGAACAGACATTTTGAAATAAATGCAGATATTTAGAAGTACAAGACATATTAAGTAATGTACCGTATAGTAATGAATATTTAGCAACCTAGTTAGTTTATCAAAAATGTGTTGATCAATGATGTCTTTCGAAGATGGCGTGCAATGAACCTGTAGGCTGCTCACCTACGTTTCATTTATTTATATCTTTCATTATTCTATACCTTCCTCATATTCGTACTTTTTACTACCTACTACCTCTATTAGTTAGCTCACCTCTTTTCTTTAGTATTTTCTTCTTCCAATACCATGTGTCAATACTTTTGTTTTCTCTTGTCGATAATTTTTCCAATGAAAAATGTCTTTACCGTCTATACATTGTATTATATTTTAATTAAAACAATTCATTTAATATTTTAAATATTTATTTACTTTCCGCCGCAGTGGTGGACCTATAGTCTTATCTCCCTAAAAACCTTCTCTCGCCGCCTGTGTAGTGTCACCTGCGAGTGTGAACGAGGAATAAATCTAATCGTCAGCTGATCTCAACAAATTGGCCGCGCGACGATTGCCAATTTGTACAGAAATCGCGACTGTAGCGATTGGCCCAATATATGGAATAAACGTTCGCAATGTTGTCGCGTTTGCGATATATATTATATTATGTTTGAAAGATATACTTTGTCGCTTTGTGCTACACTTCACAGTTCATGTTAGTTACGCTCGCTGCCACAATTTCAAAATGATGGAATGAACTAACAAACTGCATCAGTCAAAGATATTTCTGAAACAATATGTATATTGTGTATAGTTGAGCCATCTTACGTACTCATAATACAAAAAAAAATTAAGAGTTGGGTAAATTATCTATTTATGTCTACTGCTAAAAAATCATTTTAGTCTTCTTAGTCTATTTGGTAGTTAGTTATCATCTTCAAGCCCGTCTACGGTGAAGATTGCATTCTAAAATTACAGTTCAGCGTTCGTTATTCATTAGGTATGACGATTGATACCTATTAATTGCCAATATTATTTCAAGTACAGTCATTTTAACGCCCAAATTGAGAAACCATGTTTTATTTAAATATCTTTTAAGTATGTGCTCAGATATTCTTTTGTATTTGATTAATTGACCAATCATTTTGAGAAATCTTTAAGTTTTATTCGTTTAGACCGACAATTGATTAATAAATAAATGTGTAACATCGTACGCACTAACTTACCAAGAAGGTGTAGATTGATGCTGATGGGGAACTCCCAGCTACAGCGAAGTATTTATATACAGCATAATTTTTCCATAACACATTTTCATTTGGCGCACAATGGCGCCGCCGCCGGCGAAAGTGGCAGTGTTCTTCACGACAAGTAGCTTTCCTTCAGCAACACTCGGCCCTCCCGGCAGAGGGGAGGGCTCCCGCTATAAATTATACTGGTCCATGACATGAAATAGACTTTATTTATTCAGTGGCAGGGTCCATAGTGCGTTGTGCGTATAATTCGTGTTAACGCATACATTATTGGTTCGTTGGCGTCGTGTCGTAATGATCGCAGTATTTTTATAATGATACAGTTTTGTCGAGCTCTGTGGGCTGTGGGCTGTGGGTACACTGTACGCTGTACACCTTACACCGGGAATACACTGTAGGCGCGATGTAGTTACACATGTACTAAGTACACAGTAGTGAGTAGAATTCACGTGATCGCCTTATTTATGTAAAGATTACAATTAAAAATAAACCTGCATAATAATCTTGATCTCTAAAATTACTCATTTAAATGGCAAACACTATATATTATACTATTAGTCTTATGTGCCAGGTTTCAATCAGTAATTGCTTAATAGTTTATCTTCAACCTTCTTAATTTAAGGTCTCAGGCAATTTTATTTGAGATCTTAGTTAAGAACGATTTGTTTGGAACACATTCATTCATTACAAAGTATTTTTATCAATTTACTTGTTTGTCTACCAAAACATACCCGAGTATTTTAGATTTTATATAAACGGTGTATCATAAACACGTATTTCAGTGATCGCTCCCCAACTGAGTGGCGAAGAGTCCCGAGCCCTCCCGAGCAGTCCCGAGGGACGGGCGAGTGTATTGCGACACAGTTTAAGTGATTACCTCCTCACGATACTGCCTTCACTTACTTTGACAAACCAACGATATCCTATCATTCGCCCTGTATATTGATATATATGAAAGCCTCCATGCTTTGCATTGTCTTTGGATAAGGTGACATACGTGTCATAAGACAAACGTCTAATAAAATGTTGTAGCTACAAAATTGAAATATTGTAAAGAATTAATTTTATTTCGATAATATAGGATTGTTATTTTAGTTATTTAATTTAAAGAATTTAAGTGAGGATCGACGGGCTAAAGCAGTGACAATTAATTGTCGATTCTCTATTGTTATAGGTTTGTATTCCGAGGTTGCTTAGTTTATTATTTTTTATTAAAATATTGTTATTTTATTTAAATAAAACTCTATTGTTATAGATGAATCAAATTATTTCATTGCTGTCTCGAATCCTCATCTTATAAATCGACAATTTTGGTCACGTTTGAAGATAAATACAAGTATTATAAACATACGTAATGGAGAAATTACAATTTGAATTCATCGTGAAAGCGAAGCCGGATGATAATAAAACCAATATTTATGCCATAACTACTATCACGGATACACAAGGCCAAACTTATATTATGCCTCGAGAATATCAATCGGTGCAGTTACACAAAGAAATAATGAAACATGAAATATTTGACAAAATAAAGAAATCTCTCCAAAAAAGGCATGATAAGAGACAGGTTTGGATTACATTAACTAAGGATATGAAAAGTACATACTTGGATGATGGCAACATACAATTTGATGGGTATTTGCTTGAAAAATTAGAACCAAGTCAAGAGTCGTCATCGACAGAGTCATTGTCGAAGAAAATAGGAAATAAAACAAAACTATTAGCAGAATTTTCAATACAGAAGTTTTCAAGAAATACAACAAATGTTCAACAATGGTTAGATACTTATGAAAGTGAATGTGCGCGCTTACAAATAGATACAGATTTACGAAAGATAGAAATGCTAAGATTACTATTAGAAGATACGTGTTTGGATTGGTACACCTCCATGATTATAAAATATACAATTGATTCGGAGTGGTCTGTATGGAAGAAGAGTTTATGTGAAGCATTTGCCGATAAAGGTTGGTTACCAATCCGATATGCTATTAATTTTAAATACATACAAGGATCAATGTTAGAATACGCTCTAAAAAAAGAGAGACTATTACTAGAAACTAACAAATCAATAGATAAGAAAACTCTAATTTACTTGATTGCCACTGGTCTACCAAATTTCATAATGGATAAAATAGACAGAGAAAGCCTTAAAGAAGTGAATGACTTATTTAACTGTATAAGAGGACTAGAAACTTTTGCAAGAAAATATGATACGAAGAAAACCCAAAGCACAGGAAATACATACATTAAACCAGAAATAAAACAAACTGGAAAAAAGTCCTGCAAGATTTGTGAAAATAATGGAAAATTTAATAGATTTCACCCCGAGAATGTTTGCTGGTACAGCCGTAATAGTAAAATAACTGACAAAAAATCATTTAATTCTAATTCAATACTGGAAGTTGAACTCAATAATGAAGACCAAAAAAACTAAATCTCCCTCCACTAATTGAGATAACAGTAACGTTAAACAATACATTAAAAGCCAAGGCGCTGTATGATCCTGGTTCACGAATAACATTAATTAATTCTAAATTAGTTCAGATAGCAAATAAGAAACCAAATAACTGCTATA